CTCCTCCTCCTCTCTCCTGTCCTCTCCTCCTCCTCCTCTCCCTCTTCTCCTCTCCTCTCCTCCTCTCCCTCCTTTCTCCTCGTCTCCTCCTCTCCTGTCTCCCCTCCTCCTCCTCTCCTGTTCTCCTCCTCCTCTCTGTCTCTCCTCTCTTCTCCTGTTCTCCCTCTCCTCCTCCTCCTCCTCCTCCTTCTCCTCCTCCTCCTCTCCTCTCCTCCTGTCCTCCTCCTTCCTCCTCTCCTCCTCCTCCTGTCCTCCTCCTCTCCTCCTCCTCACCCCCTCCCTCCTCCTCCTCTCTCCTTCCCTTCCTCCTCTCCCCTCTCTGTTCTCTCTCTCCTGTTCTCCTCCTCTCTTCCTCTCTGTTCTCCTCCCCGTCCTCCTCCTCCTGTTTCCCTCCTCCTCCCTGTTCTCCTCCCTTCTCCTCCCCTCTCCCTTCTCTCTCCTCCTCCCCTCCCTCTCCCTCCTCTCTCTCCTCTTCTCCTCCTCCCTCCTTCTCCTCCTGTTCTCCTCCTCCTCTCCTGTTCTCCTCCTCTCCTCTCCTGTTCTCCTCTCCTCTCCTCCTCCTCCTCTCCTGTTCTCCTCCTTCTCTCCTCTCCTCCTCCTCCTTTCTCCTCCTCTTCTCTCCTCCTCTCCTGTTCTCCTCCTTCTCCTCTCTTCTTGTCCTCCTCTTCTCCTGTTCTCCTCTCATCCTCCTCCTCCCTGTTCCTTCCTTCCTGTTCCCTCCTCTCCTCTCTCCTGTTCCTCTCCCCTCCTCTCCCTGTTCTCCTCCCTCTCCTCTCCTTCTGTTCCCCTGTTCCTCCTCCTCTCCTCTTTCTCCTCTCCCTCTGCTCTCCTTCTCTCCTCCTCCTCTCTCCTGTCCTCTCCTCTTCTCCCTTTCTCCTCCTTCTCCTCCTCTTCTCTCTCTCATCTCCTCCTCTCTGTCTCCTCCTCTCTCCTCTCTCCTCCTCCTCTCTCCTGTCCTCTCCTGTTTCTCCTCCTCTCCCTCCTCTCTCCTGTCTCCTCCTCCTCTCCTGCCTCTCCCTCCTCCTCCTCTCCTGTTCTCCTGTCTCTCTCCTCCCTCTCCGTTCTCTCACTCCTCCTCTCTCCTCTCTCTCCTCCCTCCTCCTCTCCTTCCTCTCCTCTCCTTCTTCTCTCTCTTCCTCCTTCCTCCTGTTCTCCTCCTCCTCCTCTCCTCTTCTCCTCCTCCTCCTCCTGTTCTTTCTCCTCCTCCTCTCTGTTCTCCTCCTCCTTCTTCTCCTCCTCTCCTGTTCTCCTTCTTCTCCTCCTCTTCCTCCTCCTCTCCTGTTCTCTCCTCCCTCTCCTCTCCTCCTCTCCTCTCCTCTCTCTCCTCTCCTCCTCTCCTCTTCTCCTCCTCTTCTCCTCCTCCACCTCTCCTCTTCTCCTCCTCCCCTGTTCTCCTCTTCTCCTCCTCCCCTGTTCTCCTCCTCTTCTCCTGTTCTCCTCCTCCTGTTATCCTCCTCTTCTCCTCCTCCACCTCTCCTGTTCTCCTCCTTGTCCTCCTCCTCCTCTCCTCTCCTCCTCTCTCTCCTCCTCCTCTTCTCTCCTCCTGTTCTCCTCCTCCTCTGTCCTTCTCCTCCTCCCTCTCCTCCTCTCTCTTCTCTCCTCTCCTCCTCCTCCTTCTCCCCTCCTCCTCCTCCTGTTCTCCTCCTCCTCCCCTCCTGTTCTCTCCTCCTCTCCTTCTCCTGTCAGGTCCATCTCAGGTCACCTCTGGTCACGTTGGTGGAAGTGACGATGTACATTGGATTAACCAAATAAACCTGGACTCGCTTCATGGAAAATACGTCTGTTCACCCGAGAGTCAGAGCTGTCTGTTAAATCAATAAATCAATAAATCAA